GCTTTTGATGATATGGCATTCAGAGAAAGTTGTGGGAATGGTCACATTGATATTGCAAAATGGTTGTACAGTCTTAGGAGTTTTGATATTCATACTTATTATGATTGGGCATTTCGAATGAGTTGTCAAAATGGTCACATTGATATTGCAAAATGGTTGTACAGTCTTGGAGGTGTTGATATTCATGCTCTTTATAATTACGCGTTTAATCAGAGTTGTCAAAATGGTCAAACTGATATTGCGAAGTGGTTGTACAGTCTTGGGGGCATTGATATTCATGCCTATAATGACACCATGTTGCAAACACGGTTGGGGAGCGGCCCGACCATTGTCGCCTAAGAGATTTTGCTTTTTTCCCATCCCCTCCTCGTCTTCGCCACGCTCAGACTGCGATGCCGCAAAGAAGAATCTCTAGCTTCGCTTTGATCCAAGTGTTTGTGTGTCAAGGGGACTAATACATGACTGAGGGGATAAACCCAGAGGTCAAGCCATCGACCTGATGTTGAATGGGCAAGCCAATATCAACATCATCTCTCCTCCCACCTGCGTGACCTAGAGATTTAACGCCCCAACATCTCCGTGTCTCGTCGACTGTTAGAATCTTCCTCGTGCCTTCAGCACTATGTCCGATTCTATCAATCTTTTTGACATGCCGGGGGCTAATCTCTTTCCGCTTCGCGGTGGCTCCGCTTCGCCATGTAGTGTTCCAACCCTCGAAAATCAGAAATTGAAAAAAAACGAGCGCAAAATAAATTGGAAAAAAAATTGGAAAACTGCGCTGGTACCCCTAAGTCCTATACTAGTCAAGAGACCGAATACTAGGATCAAATAGTTGAGTTCAGTCGTCTTGCTTTTGTATTGGACTCAGTGGCCGACCCTGACCTCTGCAGACAGTGGAAATAGGTTGACAACATAACTGGGGGTCATATATTTTCCTGTATAAAAAGGTCATCGTGTTGCTAATCTGAATCACACATTCAATACCATACTAAGAATGGACCTTGTGGAAAAGAGGAAGCTACACTAGGGAGTGTGGCAATCTTTGTAGGGGTTGTCTTGTCTTCGTTTGGTTCAGAGTTATTTGCAGTGTCTTTGGCTATTCTTTTAGGAAAGTTTAAAAAATGCTAACAAGAAAAGAGCAGAAAAAATCACGTAAAGCTCGCGGGCAGAGAGAAGGAAAATTGTTGGCGAGAAGAGCAAAAGGAGATGTCTACAACACGGGCTATTCCGGGCTATTATTATTTATTTGTACCACCAAGTGGATGTTAGTAGCGTGTTGATCAGGAGTTCCTTGCCTTTTAAACTCAAATCTCTGTGGCGCAAAGCGGCGATGATATTGTTAATCGTCTGAATTTTTGCTTCCCATTTTCACTGGGTACAATCCACATTTCCAAAATACTGGCCAATGATCTTATCGGGAATAAAGTCATTGTACCAATCAAATCCAAATAACTGATCGGTGCGCTGTGCGAAGGTGCCACACCATAAACCCTTGCATTTTCCTTTGTTGATCTTGGCGCCGGAAGCGCTTTCAAATAGGTCAGAGGTGTTAAAGGAGGTTTCAATAATGGACTGTTCGTCAGTCAGCAACAAAGTCGTGCCATCAGCAAATTGAGAGAGCTTCACCTCCGCGTCCGAATCCAGTGGTCGAAGGCCATGGATCCTTGGATTTTGCCGAATATTACAGGCCATTTTTTCCTCTGTTAATACATAGAGGGGCATAGATAATGGGCAAGCCTGTTGGAGACCCCGCTCTTATCCAGTAAAGGATGTAAGCCAACCATTTGTTCTTACTGAGCTTGATACGGAATTGTAGATAACCTGAATCCATCGCACAAAGTCCGGGCCAAACCCAAAGCACTGCAATGTTTTAACAAGAAAATCATGCGAGACGTGATCAAAAGCCTTCAATTGATGCACGTTTGTGAGCGCGAGTGGAATGTTATTTACATTTGCATAAGTAATCACATCGTGCAATAGCCTCGTGTTGTCATTAATAGTCCTTCCTTTAATCGATCAGTTTGGTCAGTATGAACTATACGAGGTAGAACTTGTTGGAGCCCATTAGCGAGCGCTTTCGTTAAGATTTTGTAGTCAGCCGTAAGAAGCGTAATCGGTCTCCAGTTTTTGAGCAAAGTCCGATCCCCTTTCTTAAACAGCAGGGAAATAACTCCTCGGCGTTGCGAGACGGAGAGCCGTCCCGATCTGAATGCATAATTGTAAACGTGCGTTAATCTAGTGCAAAAAAGGGGCTAAAAGTGTTTATAAAAATTGGTTGTCAGTCCATCTATTCCAGGCGATTTATCAAGTTCCATTGCGGTGACTGCTTTACGCAATTCCTCCTCCGTCAGTTCTCCCTCACAAGAATTACAAGCGTCCTCAGGCAAATTGGGAATCGCAGCATTAAAGAAGGTCTCGTGTGCATTTTTATCACATGGCTCCGCTGAATAAAGTTTTTTATAGAAAGCACGAGTCTCAGAAAGTAGATCTCTTGTTTCGGTGACGGTATCTAGATTATCTTTAGTCAGTACGCGAATTGTCTGATTCGCTTTACGACTCTTCTCCAAAGAAAAAAAGTAACGCCCGCTCTTTTCTCCTTCCTCCATAAATTGCGCTTTTGCACGTATCTTAGTAGCCTCCAGGTCTTTCAAATCTAACTGCTTAAGCTTTTCTTTCGCAAGGGGGTATTGCTCTACGTCCTGTGTCGTGTCATTCTTCGCTCGCTCTTGCAGCTGTACTAATTTATTTTCTGACTGAAAACGTTCGTGGCGAAGCAATTTACCCCTAATCTTTGCCTGTCTCTTCAGAAAGGTAATCGGGTTTTAGGTCGCTGTAAAAAGGACTTCAGGCTCAAATCCGATGAAACTCAACAACATTTAATCCAGGAGACATGATCAGTAAAATACATTCAGCAAAAGCACATGGTTTCTTCAATCCCATGATGATCATTTTCACACTCATGTATGGGGGCATCATCACTCATTCCTTCAGTACTTGTAAACTGCACCTTAAGCAGTCTGGCAAAGTCCCCCGACCAGTGTTGTAAATTATCCCTGAAAAGCCCTGTGGGGAGTGGATAATAAGATATTTACATGATTTGTTTCCTTGATTTGTACCTTCCCTTGGCTGAGAATTGTCACCGGGTAAGGGCAGGTGCCTGGTACAGATGCTGACATGATGCCCGCCCATTGCATTTAAAGCACTTGTTTTGTGATGGGCAGTCTCGGCTTAGATGATGTTTTTTCAGACCGACATAACATCTCCCTTCTTTTCTCAGGATTTCTTTCCTTTTCTGCGCATCGGTCACGGTCGTGCACTTGTTGGAGGCATGAGACTGTTTACAATAGGTACATGTGGGAGAGGTTCGTGAGGTGGACGTGAGAGCTGAGGCCGTAGGCGGATCATCCCAAGGCTGATCATTTGTCCGGTGTGGTGTATTTGTAGTTGGACTGTAAGTATTGTGGGATCCTGCGGCTCTTTCACGTGCCTCAAGCTCTTGGTGCAGCACCTTCAAACACAAATCTAGCTCCCAGTCTCCTCCTTTGATTTCCCTGCTCACAATCAGGCGTAGGTCTTGGGGTATCTTATTCATCAAGACTGACGACAGTAGCCCACCATATGACTCAGAAGACACTCAAAGTGCCTTAAGTCCTCTAACATGTACTTCTACTGGATCACAGATTTTCCTGAGACCCTTCAAATCATGGTTGGAAGAGACAAGAGCCATGTTGAGAAGACTCTCCATATGTTTACTGATGATCATTTGCTTATTTTTATGTTCTCTTCAAGATAGCAATGGCTTCCTCATAGTTCGCGGTAGTTAAGGATAATCCTTGAACTGCGTCACTAGCTGTTTTCGCCATGAGGGAGTTTAAATAATGGAACTTATCAATGGTGGCGATATTAGTGTTTTCAAGGATAGAGACCTCAAAGGAGTCGCAGAATGTACACCACTTCTTAAAGTCTCCATCAAACTTTTCTAATCTCAACTTTGGGGGTTTTAGTCGAGGGCTTGATACAAACTCTGCGCTTACCGCTTCTGTTTATCCGTTTTCAGAGGTCGGCTCGTCTGACGTAGACGGGATAGGTTTCATTCTAGTTGTTGAAACGGCAGGAAACCCCGCGTCCAGTCGAGCGATAACAAAATTTACCTTGTCTTGAAAAAGGTCTGCTGCTTCAATCTCCTCCACGATGTCTTCTTCTGATATTGATTCGAGGATTTCCTGGTCAAGGCCTTGCAAGAGTTTGAGTTTCTCATTTAGAGTGGTTTTCTGATTAAGGATCAGACAAACTAGACGGGTTTTCGGAAATGAATTGTAGAACTTCGTTCGCTGTTTCCATCAAACGCTTGGTGGATCTTCTATATGCGGTTCGAGTCTGACGTTTTCTTGTAATTTCCGTCGCAGATATTGCTTGGCTTTCGCTTCCTTGAGCTTCGGTAGGCGTAGAAGTGGCCGTAGACTTTCCTTTCTTTCCCATGTTTACGAAGGAGATCAAACTCGCTCGGAGATTGATCAAACACAAAGCTTTCCAGAGTTGTTCAAAATAATGGGTTTTCTTCGAAGATTTGTTGATCCATTCAGGCTTGAAATACCATATTCAGAAAGGTAATCTGGTTTTAGGTCGCTGTAAAAGGACTTCAGGCTCAAATCCGATGAAACTCAACAACGTTTAATCCACGAGACATGATCAGTAGAAATACATTCAGCAAAAGCACATGGTTTGTTCAATCCCATGATTCCACGAAAACAGTAGGCACGCATGGCGAGCGCACATGCATACAACGTTCCGATCACTGCCTGATGGCTATAATCTTAAAGTGTTGTTTGCCTTTATCCCACCATTTTAGAGGATCAGGAAAACAACGTCGGTAAGGAAATCTTTATTAAAATGCCAATAGCCAGGTCCGCGATGAACCTTATCAAAATCAATTTCCAAAGTTATACTATCATGATCGGAATGTTTGTAAGGCTTAAACTGCACAGCGGAAATAAACTGGTTCAAGGCGCGGCCAGTAAGGAAAAAATCAATTCTTGTCGGAATGAATAAATGGTTGACGTCGTACGGGCAGTCCACGTATAATTTCGCTCATCCTTGTGCCGTTCCCTCCAAATATCCCATAGATCGTAACGCTCATTAAACGTACGCAGAAAATAAGTCGCTGCTTGTCGAGAATTTGGATCTCCACCAAGTTTATCCAGTCTGTTGTCCATAATAGAGTTGAAATCACCCCCAAGTATGTTTTCGTTTTCCCTTGAAATAAAGAGTTCTAAAATCAATAAAAAAGTCCGCCGTTTAGTGTTGGTGTTGGGAGCGTAAACATTCACTAAGTTTATCGTTTGTTCAGCCATTTAAATTACAAGATTCAAAACACGACCTTCACTGTCTCTTTTTGTTTCTTTAACACTGTAATCTAGGCGCGAGTTTATTAAAATCGCAGAGCACCTCGCGGATTTTTTTTCGTGGGTGTAGGAAACGCGACCTTGTCAGTCGCGTTGTAGTTCAATTTCCATGTCAGCTGTCCAGTGAGTTTCTTGCAAAAAATATAATATCAAATCTGCTGCGGCTGAAAAGAGAAAAAGCTGTTTTTCGTCGATCCGCAGATCTAAGCCCTTGGTAGTTTATGCTTCCAACAATCGTCATTAAGGTTGTAATATATAATAATGATATAATCAACCAAGCCATTATGAGTCTTAATAAAAATGTTCTTGTTTTTGTTTGCCAGCCATTGATTTATCTCGTTGCTTTCCACTATTTTTCACATTCGGGGCAGGACTCAACCGCTGTCGGCGAGATGGCGCTTTTCTATCAGAATCTGAGGAATCCACTGCGAAGTGGATAATTGCGATCGAAGGAACAACCGCGATGAGGTTGAACAACAGATGACAGATCAAAATGAAACTTCGACTAATTCCGAAAATACTACAACTGGTTGAGGACTTTTTTGATTTCATCATCCTCGACATTAGTCAACTTGCCGTGCGGTAAATGTCATCGTAGTCCAATCCTTCTTCTACCAGCGCCTCCGCATCTCGTTGATTTAAATCCTCGATTAAGTATTCTCCATATCCCAAATCTTGGAAAACAGTCCCATTTGATTCAATCGCCCCATCAATAGCTTCGTTTAACTCCTTCGGGGTCATATTAAACGGCATGTTAAAGGCAACACTTCGAACCCTCCGGTCGGCCATCTTGGCCTTCCTGAAGTACAGCAAACGGCTCCTTCAAAATAAACGTTCAGCACAGATATCCACCCAAAAGACAAAAATAAAACTCGAGTAGTGACTTAGGAACTGACTGGAAATATATTCCACACAATAACCACAAAAACAAGACTAATTCTCCGAGCACGTGGGAACCGGTTTTTCCCCTGTGGTGTGGTCGTAGACGACGAGAGCAAGACGCCGAAAGGTAAGATCAAATAGTTGAGTTCCGTCTTCTTGCTTCTGTATTGGACTCAGTGGCCAACCCTAACGTGGGCAGCCAGTGGAAATAGTTTGACAACCTAACTGCGGTGAAATGTTTTCCTCCATAAAAAGGTCATCGTGTTGCTAATCTAAATCACAGTTTCAATTCCATGCTAAGGATGGACCTTGTGGAAAAGAGGAAGCTACACTAGGGAGTGTGTGCAATCTTCATTGTAGGGGTTTTCCTGTCTTCGTTTGCTTCAGAGTTATTGGCAGTGTCTTTGGCTAGTCTTTTACGATAGTTAAAAGAAAAAACAAACAAGAAAAGCGAAAAAAAAGCAGACAGAAGGAAAATGGATGGCGAGAAGAGCAAAGGGAGATGTCTACAACACAGGCTATTCCCAGGTGGTCCCCCGCCAAGGTACTAGACCCGCCCGACAGGACTATACTTCGGTGTTCGGATGGGAACCGGTTTTTTTTCCTAAAAAGGCTCCGTAGAACTGTTTATTTACAAATAACAATAATCAGTAACGTTTATATCTAGTTGGTATTTCACATGCGTATTTTCATGACGATGAAAATCTGATTTACATCTTGTTTTACAGTCAGATTGTGAACGGTAATTGATTATTTTCGACTTTGGCGAGAGCTTCGCCTAGGCACCAGTAAAAAAAAAAAGTAAAATTGAGTCCAGTGTTGTAGATACAGCTTGAACTGATAACGCAGATGTGACTTGACAATCGAGCCAAAGACGGCCTCGGGTGGTAAGGTCTGATCATGGACCCTATGGCAAACAGCTGATTTGTGAATTCCGCTTCTACTCATGGTTAAGATCCAGTTAATTAAGTCAGTATGCTTCTTTCTAAATAAGTCGTTAGTTTGCGGGACTTTGGCCAATACTTTAAGTCTGACAGTTAAGGTTAGGTTGCTATCTGCAATCTTGCCAATTAAGGGTTGAACTTTAGTTCAGAATGCATCAATGATAGAGCAGTCAATTAGAGCATACCCTATGGTGGCCGTAACTTCACAACGATGACAGAGAGTCGAGTTGTAGACATTCATTCTGTTCAACGAGAGGCTGTTGGTAGCACCCGATGTGCAACCGTCTAACTAATATCGCCTTATTTATTAGAAATTAGGGGCGAGTAAAACGTCATCCATTGCTTCGTATTGAAATCGGGCTCGGGTTGTAGAATTTCTTCCCACTTACCTATCGCAGGTATCGTTGGCTTCTGCAACTGATGAAGGTGATGATAGAAGGTACGTGTCTTGCACGCTAGCAGCTCAGGTGAAGTGCTTCCGGGACTTGAGGTGTTAATTACGAAACAAGGCTGCAGTGTGGGTAGCTGTTGTGGGTTGTTTGAATTTACCGTATTTATTCGAATAAGCGCCCAACGTCGAATTCGCGCCCACCTCGAATAGGCGCCCATTTTAAAGGCAGAAAAAGTTAATAAGCGCCCAACCTCGAATAAGCGCCCACCCCCTCCTCCTCTTAATCAAACTCAAGTAAGCGCTCACCCCCACCCCACCCACTTGAGTGAATAAATTGTAATAAGAGACTTCCCCGAGGACGGAGCTATCTTCAGAGTATTTTACAGAAACCTTGCTTTCTTACTTCTTCGCATTTTGTTGTTAGCATTTATTGTTTTGTTGCAAAATAAACATACTACACTTGCTGAAAATGGTGAAAATTTAATAAGCGCCCAGTCTCGAATAAACGCCCACACTCAAGGTCCAAAAATTTAATAAGCGCCCAGGGCGGTAAATCGAATAAATACGGTATTAGGTGAAGCCACTGCCAGGGGATCTTGGCCAGGAGGTCCCGATACTCCCGTATTGTTGTCGATAAGGCGTGAGGCTTACTGTCAGTTAATATCTCGTGAAGGCCATTAGCCGGTAAAAACCCGGGGACTGCTTCGTAACAAATGTTCCTTACCACGTGTGATACCTGCTGCAATCCAATCCGTGTATAGAATAGAAGAGGCTTTTCCTGAGAAGTAATCAAATCATTGAGGAATAATGGCTCATTAAGGACATCTTTGATCAATTCAGGGATTTGGGTACGGGTGTGGCATTCCTTGTGCCTGTACCATGCCATTAGTAGTTCTCGATGAAACGCGGGAATGTCGCCATCAATGCGCTGGGGTGAGTAGTCTAAAACAAGCGTCATCTTGCCAAGCTTCATGTTTGCGACACGAAGGAAATAAGCCGTAAAATATTTCCAATGAGCGTCCCCCACAGATAAGAGCCTCTTAAGGGTGTTGAATCTAAATGAATAAATCCTGGTCTGCAATAAGGGAATGTTAAAGCCGCCATCTCTAAGTGGAAGCGCTAAGGTTTCTCTATTCACTAATGAGTGTTTTTACTCCAGAAAAAAGCGTAAATCGACCGCTCGGTTTTTGAGATGAACAATGGGGGCATAGGCAACGAGGTGACATTGTACCACAAAGTGGATGTTAGTAGGGTGTTGATCAGGAGAACCTTGCCTTGCCTTTTAAACTCACTCTGAGGATAAGATTAAAGATAAAACCCTTGAGCTCTCACGTATGTCATTAGTACAAATTACAAAAAGTAGAGGTCCTAGAACGGATCATTGTGGCACCCCGCATTTAATTGTCTCGCTATCTGAAATGAATGATTTGTACTTAACAATCTTTTCTCTATTAGTTAAGTAACTTCTAAACCTATCGAGCACTATTCCCCTGATTCCATAATGTTCAGTGCTTTTGCAAAGTCTAAGAACACCACAATAGTAAATTCATTGTTATTAATTGACCTCAAAATCCTTGTTAGAAGCTGCGTAGTAGCTAAATTAAGTGATCTTTTCTTGCGAAATTTATACTGGTTATCAGAGAGTATGTTATGTCGTTCTAAATATTTCAGAAGTCTTTATACATCAGTTTTTCTAGTATTTTGCTAAAACACGGAAGAATGGATATTGGCCTATAGTTCTTAAATTGGTCCCTTTCATTTGCTTTAAAAACAGGAGTTACTAATGCAATTTTTAGCTCTTTTGGTAGTACGCCAGTGAGAAATGTTTGATTAAATATGTATGTCAGAGGTGGAACTGTGTATTTTGATATCTTTTTGACAATAAGTTTTGGGGCTAGATCATCATATCCCGTGGCCTTGTTTTCGTTTAATTGGCTTATCTCAACCTCGACTTTCTTTTCCGTTATTGGATCTAAAAATACTGAGTTGTTATATGAATTAGTTAAAGGCACATGCGCATTAGATACCATTTCTTAGCTGATTTGCAAGTCACAAGACACTCGCGTGAAACAGAAAATGAGAAGCGTATCCGAAATACTCAAAACAAACCTTTTAGAGTTGAACTAGTTACAAGCCGAAATCGTGATTATAGACCCTAAGCCATATCAGAGTACTCATTTTTTATATACCATTGAGAATTCACCGATGGATTTGTCCAGGGAAAGCCAGAGATCGACCAATATTTCTGAATTCGATCATCAGTAGAGGTGAGAAATGACACGAAATCTGCAGGAATCATTGTCGAAGGTTCAAGGTCCAGAAAGCTTGATTTTCTAAACAAATGTAACCTTTTCCATCGATTTTCCAAATATATATAACGATTATTTCCTCTCCAATGTTATTGATTTATTTCTTTTGTTATTTTGGTAAACGAAAGCAATTTCTCCCGCCCGGCGCCTACGAGTTTCTCACCTCTTCTGTTCATGTTCTTTTGGATACTGTTTTTAACCAAATATCATAAAATAATGTCATAGGGTAAGTTAAAGTTTGCTCAAAAGGAGGTTTTCAGTAAAATACTGAGAATCGAATGAAACACTAGGCAAGATTGAAGCAGATTCCTAGATGTGTCCGACGCGTACATTTGAAATGAGCGCATTAGTCTTACTCGACCTCTCAAAGGCTTTTGACAGAATTTGCCATCAGAAGTTACTCCAGAACCTCTCAGCTGTAGG